AAGGAAATATTCAAATATGAACACAGTGACTATATTAGGCTGGTGGGTTTATGGGTCCTTTTTTTTATCTTCCAAATTTTCTATAATGCTGCATCTAGAAGTCAACAGAAAACAAAATCCTCCCAGGCTGGAAGCCAGCATGTCACTTAAAAGGAAAACCCCAAAGAGAGATCAGAGACAATGGTGAATGAATGGGCGCCTTTCTCCCTGACCACTGCCAGAATTCAAAAATAAAAATAGAGGGGGAAGAGTAAGTGTGAAGGAGAGAATGGACTTAGGGCCTAGGAGCTCACAAGGGGTCAGGAAATGGAAGGAACTGGCTCTGAGTATGTACTTCCTATAAGGACCCTCTGATTATAAAGTAGTTTCAACTTTTGAATCTAGTCTGAAACAGTCAAGCAAATATAGTGAATCACCGAGTAATTTCCCTCCTGTTGTTTCTATATTAGCCTGCGTCCTGTTTCACCATAAAAAGATGATTTTTCTGCACAAGAGATAGTTGGGTGGAGACATGGAATCCAAGAACATAAAACCTACGCAAAATGCTACTCAAATGTCATAACATTCCGGTTCTATACTTTAAAAACGTGTTTCCCCAAAGAGCTGCATTTCTGTGAACTGCTGACTGAACGCCATCTAAGTTCTTGCTTTCCGACAGAGAACGAGCACTATCTAAGCAAGAGGGTTTTACTCTGACCTGACAGATGGGCATGATAAATGCCAGCATCATAAAAACTGGAAGTTACTCCTAAACTTGGCATATAGCGAGTGCACCTACAAGCCTTGAGAGTAACCCTGGAGACACATGTGCTGAAAAACAACCTAGGAACTTTCGACTCTGATCCCTCTTCTGTTTCCAGGTGCTTAAAAATGGAATTCTGGACAGAGATTATGTGCTTTGTTGCAATTACAAGCACCTTTGTATATTCTATTTAGTATAAGTCTCCTAAAATTTTTTTCTTACAATTACATGAAGCAGTCCCATTCCATTACATTATACGCCAGCAAGACCATGCAAATTTGTGGTTACCTTTTATACATGGAACAAATTATCTTTAGACACCAGGAGAGAGATATCAGCAAAGAATTACAAAGATTTATCTAATGGACCATAATTACATTTATTTATTCTAAAAATGGCTTATTAGACTTGTGCAAAAGAGTTAACACAGCAGGCCTGCTATCTTTGGAAGGGCCTGCTGGCAGGGGAACTTGGTTTTCAGAATGTTTTCTCCATTACTAACTGATAAGGTCATTTCGCTGGGCCTAAGCTGTTTGTACAAACAATGTGACTTACGGTGAACACTTGCTTTCCTTCTGGGAGTCTGGAATTTGGGTGGTTGCTAGCTAGAGAATGCCTATGTGAACAACCCTCAGGGAAAACCCTAAACTCTCAGTCTCAAATGGGCGTCTCTGGGCATACACATCACATACACGTTGCTGCATTTTCACTCTGGAGGGAGGGTGAGCTCGACGTGACTTCTCACGGGAGAGAGAGAGCATAGGAAACTTGCAAATAGATTTCTCCAGACTCCACTTATACCTCTTCCGCTTACTGATCCAGCTGTGTTTGCTTACTCTGTCACTGCAATAAATTTTAGCCGTGAGTACAACTATATTCTGATTCCTTCTAATGAATCATCAAATGTGTGGGTGGTCTTGGCAGACCCCCAAAAACAAGGCTCTTAGTTTGATTTTACATATACTTTTGAGTAGCTTATAAAAGTCTAAATACTATCCCAAAACTATTGTGTGTCTTGAACAGACCACTACAAGTCTAAAACCAGGTGGAACTGGTCTTCATAACTGCCGCCGTGCTGTAGACAGCGGAGTAGCTGAGAATTTAGCTCATCAGCTCTAGATCCCAAAATAATATTCTTACTGCAACTTCCCAGGCACTAAAAGATAAATGTTCTCCACGGGGCAGAATGCAGAGGTTATAGCTCAGGGGTACTTGTTCAAAGCCAAGGATTTTTTTTACATTCTGGGCTTTAAACACATCGGCTGCACATGTGCCATACAGTTAAATATCATCAGCCAATTTCTGGGAGAGGAAGTCATTACTCTAGTGTTCATATTCCCTGTCACATCTGTTTAGGGTTGATTACAGATAGTAATCTTGTTTGACAGAAATACAGTCCCAACTCAGCTCACATTAGAGCCTTGCCATCAAAGCAGTCACTTGTTTTTCAGTGCTCACTAACGCCATGGAGCTGGGCAGGGAGGAGGGGAAGTGCAAGGTTCCTCTGGAATCCTGGTGTCCGTCACTGGATTAACTCATGGTCACCATTCTTAGTTGGAAAACCCCCTGCAAGCTGTCAAGTTTAGACTAGACTATATCCATCTTCTTATGCTATCTACATTTATTACTTTAATGGCTAATAAACAACCCCTATGTGCTAGGGAGCCAGGGAGACAAAGATAAATAAGATGCTGGCTGCTCTTAAGGAACACACCAGTCTGTGGCTGATACATAGGAATTCTTTGACTATAGTGGAAGCCTGCTAGTCAGCTGTAATTCCAATACCAGCATCAGAGTTTTGTTAAGAGGTCTTTCCTTCTCTCTGAGACATACCATGTCTTGCTCAGGAGTCGCTAGCAAGCAGTCATTTTTCTCAGAAACTACCAGTGAGCTTTACCCAGAGACCACCAGCCCCCATGCAGGAATCAGCATGCCATCCAGCACACAGGTGGGCAGGCCGCATAAACCAGACACCATCCACATATTAGATGATGCTTGCAAACAACCAGATAGTTACGTGTGAATTATTATGCATGAGTTATTTCTCCCAGCTATCTAACTTGCTCTACCGCCATGCTCCTTTCACATGTGAGCACCTGAAATAATGGAGACAATAAAGTGGCTGAGAAGGGCACTTCCCAGCACACATCCAACATGGGACCACACTGGAATTTCCAATCTGCTGCATAAGCGGTGCAGCCTCAGAACACAGGAAGCTCATCTTCATATGAAATCTCATGCAGAATCATGACACGTGAGCCATAAAAAGTGGAGCTGCTCAGCTGAAGCAGGGAAGAGCCTGGAGCCCCTCCAGCCCACTCCTCAGGCAGCCCAGCTCCGCAGGTCACAGTGTGAAAACCAGTGCACTGGTTCAAGAATACAAGGAGCGATCATTAATTCAGTGAGACGCCCGACATGCAAAATATGTAAAGCTGTTCCTATATGAACACATGATTAAAGGAAGTGCTAGAAAGCTGTGAGTTTCTCCTAGCAGGTAATGTTGCAAATAAGCAGGCTTGCTAACACAAGCACACACAAACACACCATGTACTGATCCTGGCAGTCCTCAACTGCAATATCGCAAGAGTTATCTGCTAGGATGACGGTCCATCATGGCAATCTTCTAAACAACATATATCCAGTTATTGTGGAAATAACCCCTACTTAAGTCCATGATTCTGGCTAGTTCCTTCTGCTTTTAAAGTTATCACACACAGTATTCTTGGATGAGAAGTAAAGATATAAATTCTTTCCAAACTAGTATTGAAATATAAAAAAAAAATTTTAATGGAAATCCCTCAGGGATTTTTTATTCGAATTTGATTTTAAAAAATCATTTTAGGGGCCGGCCCCATGGTGTAGTGGTTAAGTTCAGTGCATTTTGCTTCGGCAGCCCAGGTTCACAAGTTCAGATCCCAGGCACGGACCTATTCCACTTGTCAGCCACACTGTGGTGGCAAACCACATACAAAGTAGAGGAAGATTGGCACAGACGTTAGCTCAGAGCTAATCTTCCTCACACAAAAAACAAGGAAGATTGGCAACAGATGTTAGCTCAGGGCTAATTTCCCTCAGCAAAAAAAAAAAAAAAAAATCATTGTACAATTCATCTGGAAGAACAGCAAAATACATTTTTAAAAGTGTTAAATAATAATGGGATTGGGTAGATAAGGACTTGATTTACAATAATGCTATGATAATGAAAAGGGTGATAAGGGTTCAGAAACAAGAGATGAAATCATCAATGGAACAAAACAGAAATCTCTGAAACAAATCTAAATTACTCAACTTACTAACAGTTGGGATGAGGGAAAGCCAGATCCCTACCTCACACACTACACCAAAAATAAAGTCCATATAGATTCTAGATTTAAACTATAAAATTGAAACCATAAAAATGCTAGTGGAAAACAAATGGGTTATTATTTCTATCATCTTTTGATAGGGAAAGACTTTAGGCATGATACTAAAGGCAGAATCCATAAAAGATTTGACTACATAAATTTAAAAAATACATAAATAAGGACTACATAAAGTCTTTATTTGAAATTCTTTAGGGAAAATAAAAACTACTTAACAACTTAGAAGAAAAACAAAATCACTTTGAAAAAATATTTGCAACCTAACAAAGGATTAATGTCCTTTATATATAAAGAGCTTACTAATCATTAAGAAAAAGGATATAATGGCAAAAGGAAAAACAGGGCAAAGGATATGAACAGGCTATTCATAAAACAAAGGGCCAATAAACACATAAAATATTTGTATATATTTATTAATCAAAGAGTCAACAAAAGAAAATCCCATTTTTCACTTACCGAAATGACAAAAATTTCTAAAATAACGCTCAGCATCAGCACGATTTGGAAAGCTGACATGTTACGGTTGTAGATATGATTAAATAATTTTCATTAAGGGGCCGGCCCTGTGGCCTGGTGGTTAAGTTCGGCACACTCTGCTTTGGCAGCCCAGGTTCGGTTCCCGGGCGCTGACCTACACCACTTGTCAGCGGCCATGCTGTGGTGGCGACCCACATACAAAACAGAGTAAGATTGGCACAGATGTTAGTTCAGGGCCAATCTTCCTCAGCAAAGAAAAAAAAATCATTTTCATTAAGAGAAAATATTATGTTTGTTAAGAGGGGAAAAAAATGATTCTTCACTTAAAAAAAATCCTATAACAATATTAAATTTTATGAGAAACTTAAGATGTTGATAACTGCATCTTGGGTTGTTGCTAAGAGCAGTAAGCTAATTACCTGGAAGACAGCTTGCATCCCTGTTGCAAGTAGGCACTCAGGTTCCCAGTTGCTGCAAGTAACAGTCCCAGGTATGGAGGGGAAGGCTTCATTGGCCTAGAAGAAAACTCGGGATGGAATTGGACACCAACAAAATAGGGATGATCTGAAATGAGAACAATCACGAATCGATTGAAGCAGACAAACATGAGAACTGCTTTAAAGGTCTTCCTACCTTTCAATAAGAAAACTCATTAAATGGTAAGATGATTATTTAACTTGTTATCATCATAGCCAGTTACTTTCATGATCCATCTTCACAGCAGAATTTCAAATTGCAAAATACATCTCACTTAATAAGAGATCCGGCATTTTAATTGCGGAAGGTGTTAGAGTGAGCCAAGTTAAGCAAAAATTTTTGAAAAGCAAGATGAATTCTGCTTTCCCAGAATCTGCCTGCTTTTTGAAGGTCCTTGGTATCCCTCACACTTTAGGCTAAGAGTAGATCATTCTTTCTCTTAGATGGCTTCAGGCCATTTCTTACACAGTCTTCTTTCCCAAGGGAAGGGTGCCCTGGGAACGCAGCAAGTAAACTGCTTTTCTAGTCACAGCTTTAAATTGGATATTAATCCTAGATAGCACCATGAAACTGAACTGGCACACATATTTCAGCCTGTGCCAACTTATCCTTTGTGATGAAGAGTCTCTGAGTGATAAAAGGATGGCCTTTCAACATGTTAATGGTGGCTATGGCTCAAGGTGGTGAGAGTTCAAGATATTTTACTTTCCTTCCTTATACTTTTCTGCATCATGTGAACTTTTACAAAGAGCATATATTATTTACATTATCAGGAGGAAAAATTAAGCTATTTTCACAATGAGGGTTGAAAGAAGCCCCTGTATGAGCAATTCCAGTTTTCTTAGATGTAATAGAAACAGAAAAGTAGCTTTTCCCAGGTATCTGGAATCTCCTGTTTTAGAATGGTAAAAAATTAAAAGGGCAACATTTCCAAATTTGGGTAGAAATTTTCTAGGATTACAAATTCCTTCTGCCAATCAGAACTCTCAGAAACTATGTTTATTCCTAGATTAGGAAGCAAATCCTAATGAGAGACTGGGCAACTCTCTGATCCCATAATTACTGTAGTACAGAGCATGGTCAGTGTGCTGTATTCTCTATCTTAAAATCATTTTAATTGATTTACACATCAAACTGAAAACAACAAAACGTTAAGTTTTATAGGGAGAAGTAAATATAACTTTAAACCTTTCAATGAGATGCTTTTATTAAATGATCTAAAAATCTATTATGGAATTCAAAATCACAAATCCCCATCACTTTCCACTGGAGACCCAAGGCTACTGCTACAGTAGGGAGGAAATGATGATTGAGCAGACATGTCCACTCTCTTAAGGTTATCATTTAAAGCTTTGCTATACAAAATGATAGTCCCTAGCCACATGTGGCTATTTAAATTCACTCAAATTAATTGAGCATGTTTCAAGTGCTCAATGGCCACAAATGGCTAGTGGCTACCATATTGAACAGGGCAGAATAGTTCCATCATGGCAGCAGGTTCTTTGGATAGCTCTGAGTCCAGAAAAATTCAGTGTAGAAATCCTCTACATCACATCTAGGAAGAAGCCTCCTTGAATTAGAGGGACACTTAAATATGAAAGCTTGGAGAGGGGAATGCCACCTTCTCCCAGGAATGTGTCCCCTCAAGAAAAGAAGAAGAGAAATCATTCACACTTAGAAAAGAAACTAAGTCATGTAGCTTTAAATTTAGGATGCAATGAATCTTACAGCACAGCATCTATGGATGTCTTTGAAAGAAGCAGACAGTAATTGTGCTTTTATACCACTACAGACAGAAGCTGAGCAATGGATCATGTCATACCGGCACAGAATATTTGAATAATGGATCATTGCTCTGAATCACTTCATCCAAAAAAATCCCCTATGCCAATATGAGGAAAGAGACTAAAATGTTTTTATTTTGATGATGTTTTATTAGTCAGATAAAGTATCTTTAAAATAATGCTCTCAATTGCTTTGAACCAAATTCTGGCATTATACTAATCTCAAGTTTTGTTGTTCCTTTTAGAACTCCTTTAGCAATGTAGAGATTCGTGGGTATGCTTCTAAGGGGTAGCTAAGATCAAAATCTTCTGGGGAATCATCCTTAATAAAATGAATCCCCTTGCAGTCAGCTTTCAAAAATGGCAAGGTTTTACAGGGGCTCTCATTTCCTCTCCAACCCATGTGAAATTTGAAAGTGTCAATGGGAATCTAAGTCCTTGAGATGAAAGAGGCTTCTAAGTATTTGCTGACAATAATGAGAGCCAGGAGAATTAAAAGAGAATCAGTACTTGAACAAAGTAAACAAATAGTAATCTGCTTAAGAAACTCTCTGCCCTCTCACATGCCAGAAAGGCTTAAGAGACTTCAACATCAAACTGTGATCCACACTATAAAAATTCTAAATAATGGGCATTTCCATCAGAAAGACTACAGGAGGGGCCAGCCTCATGGCCTAGTGGTTAAGTTCAGCGTGCTCCACTTTGGCAGCCCAGGTTTGGTTCCTGGGCATGGACCTACACCACTTGTCGGCCGCCATGCTGTGGTGGTGACCCACATACAAAATAGAGGAAGACTCACATGGGTGTTAGCTCAGGGCGAATCTTCCTCAAGCAAAAAGAGGAAGATTGGCAATGGATGTTAGCTCGGGGCAACTGTTCCTCAGCAAAGAAAAAAATAGAAAGACTATAGGAAATACATTGTCATATTCTATTTCAAAACTTTAGGCGTGGATTGATAATCTTAGGTGGAATGTCCAGTGAAAACAAGAGGAATGATAAAATCCCACAGGAGTGGTGGCAGAAGGAGGTGATGACCTGGTTTGGCTCCAGCCCCGCCAGTGGCTAACTGGATGGCCCTGGGCAGGTTATTTAACCTCTCTGCACTCCACTCTCCTTTCTCTGTAAAGTTGGAATAACATCACCAGCCTCGTGAGTTACGCAGGCACGCAGAGTCCCTAGCAAGGGGTCTAGTGAGAAACATCTACTGAGTGCACACTCAATGTCCATTGCTTTCCTTCTTTCAGGGTCCAGGTAACATACTACTGCATTCAAAGCCTTTTCCAACTTCAATTCTCCTCCCTGCTCGGGACTTCTGAAGTACCTGAACACATTAGAGACAGAAGGGGGAATGGACAGAGAAAAGGAATTTGAAGTAGAGAATAGAGACATGCACTAAGATGAAAAAAAGAGGTAGGAAAGTTAGAAGAAGAGTAAGTAGTCCAGGTTATCTGGAGCCTAAAATATACAGGTTGAAAAGGCAGGTGCTAGAAAATGATACTACCGTTTTTAGAGTATCTTGTACATACTAAGCATTCAACGAGAGTGATCTATCCAACAAACTAGTGTCACATGGACTGCACAGTCAGAGCCCTGCCCTCATTAGGAGGTACTGGAGAGGGGAGAGCCTGGAGGCAGGAAGGAGCTCGAGGACTAGTCTGGGTAAGAGTCACCACCTGCTGGGACTAGGGCGATAGGGATGGGAATGCAATCCCAAATCTGGTCTTTCTTTCCAGGGACGGAATTTACAGCACTTGACAACTGATTACGAGTTGGGGGTATGATGGAAGAAGAGCTAAATAAGTCCAATTTCAAGCCTAATAGTCTAGGACAGTGGTTCCCAACTAGGGGCAAATGTGCCCCTCAGGGACATTTGGCAATGTCTGTAGACGTTTTTGAGTGTCGCAACTTGGGTGGGGGGTGCTATTAGCATCCAGTGGGTAGAGACCAGGGATGCTGCCAAACATCCTACAGTGCACAGGACAGCTCCTACCACAAAGAATTATCCCACTCCAACTCTCAATGGTGGTGAGGTGAGAAACCCTGGACAAGGAGATTGATGAGAATAGGAATAGTCAGGGGGAAGAACTACTTTGGAGATCATGTAAATTTAGTTTTAAACAAGTTGAGTTGGAAGTGCCAGGAGAATATCCAGATAGACAAACAAGTCAAGCAGGCACCTGAAAATATTAAATTCAAGTTAGTTAAATGAAGTGCATGTGTGTGGGTCTAGAACAGGGGCTGGCAAACATTTCTATAAAGGGCCAAGTAGTAAATAATGTTAGGCTTTGGGGGCCATAAGGTCTCTTTCCCAACTACTCATCGCTGCCATTGTAGCACAAAAGCAGCCATAAACAATACACAAATGAATAAGTGTGATTGCGCTCCAATAAAACTTTACTTACGGACACTAAAAGTTCATATAATTTTCACACATCACAAATCTTATAATTTCTTTTTTTTTTTTTTAACCATTTAAAAATGTAAAAGTCATTCTTAGCTCATGAGCTGTACAAACATGGTCAGGGGGCTGAATTTGGCCCACAGGCCATAGTTTGCCCACCCCTGGGCTAGAATGTCCAGAGAAAGAGCTGGGATCAGCTGGAAGCCTGAGCTTACCATGTCTTTGCAGCTCTGAATGAGAACACTGTCCTCTGTCTCGTCAATAATGGATGTATGGTTTGTGCCTATGCTCTCCAGGTGTCCCAGCCCAGACACAAGCAACGTCTTTGGTGATCTTCCTCAACAGAAGTCCAATCCCTTTGTGCTGTGTTTGGTCTTACTAAGAACTTCTCTGAGTGCAGCAATTAGCGATCACAAGTTTAATGACTGGCCCATGCTTGACAATGGAGCATGAGCAATAGGGAATGGCAGAGGCCACATGGAATGAGGGGCCAGGTCCCACGTGCAACAGATGTCACACCAGTCACCAGTAGTGAGGAGGGCACGGGGCCACTCTTCCTCAAAGGAGGGAGAAAGCAGGGTACTACTCAACAGGGGGCTTCCTGCCTTTCCCAGAGCGCCTAACCTAGGGGCTAGCAACAAGAGAAGCCCCAGAAAGGGGGCAGGGATGGTAAAGAAGCATACTACTGGGAGGACTAGTAGGCATACATCATTTTATGATAGGTTCATACTAATGGGCCCCAAAATTATTAGGATTATAAGCAGTCTGTTTTTTCATGCACTTTATATTTAGTGCATATTATTTATATTTAGCGGCATATTTATTTCAAAGGAGAGAGGAAAAGAAAGAAAGCAAGCAAAATGAGTCTCAAGTTATATCTTTGCATGTCTACGGTCAACAAAAAGACGTTAACACACTGTGAAAATTTTCGAAAATGAAGAGCCCACTTACTTGCCAGTTCAATGATTTCCATCCTCTCCCCATCGACATCATGACCTACAAAACTTAAGTCGTTCTGCTCAAGTTGGTGGATCAGGCTGGGGTTCACCTGGAAAAACAAGAAATTGTCTTTGGGTAGCAGAGAAATACAGACATATCAGCTTATGAACATGTCCTCCATCAACTGGGTGGGTTTTCCATTTCAGTGATATACTAACTAGCAGTTAATTTCCACATTCAACCTCCAACGCCTGTTTTTAAACTCATGATGAACCTGAGATGGAAAGTCTAATCACAGCCCCTAAATCTGGGAGGCCCACCTTCTGTCACCCAAAGATAAGATTCAAAAAGTAGGACTGTGACACAGATATTCTGACTTGGAATCTTGAGACTAGCTATTGATAGTCGTCCCCATATTTGCTTCTTCCCTTGAGTTATGTGTAATTAACTATCTCTCCCCAAATCACGAATCTGCTTAAGGATGGAAAATGTCTTATTTCCCTGATGACTAACCCCAATGCTTTCTTTACATATAGTTACATAAAAGCGCTAAAGAGAAGCTTGGAGCAATTTTTCTACTAAAATATAGGTTATAGATGACAACTTGATGACCTGGCTCAAGGCCCTTCCCTCACTCGTCTCATCGCTAGCCTTTTCCCAAACTTTTCAGCCTCTCCTTCACAGAAAGCACTTCCTCATCTAACACCAAAATAGTGTCCCACCTGTCCTCAATCTTAACCCTATACACTTTTATTTTATTTTTTAACTTTAGGCTAGCTCTCATAATTGGTAATTATTTTTCTTTTTTTAACAGCTTTATTGAGATATGTCACATATCATACAATTCACCCACTAAAAGTGTACAACTCAATGGTTTTTAGTATATTCACAGAGGATTTCAATCATCACCACAATCAATCCAAAAATATACCCTATACCCTACAGCCTCTAATCATCATCCCCCAATCCTCTCATCATCACCCCTTTGCCAAGCCCTAGACAACCACTAATCTACAGTCTGTCTCTTTAGATTTGCCTGTTCTGGGCATTTCATGTTAATGGAATCATACAATATGTAGTCTTTTGTGACTGGCTTCTTTCATCTAGCATAATGTTTTCTAGGTTCATTGATGTTGTAGCATGTATCAATAATTCATTTATTTTTATTGTCAAATAATATTCCATTGTATGGATATATCACATTTTATTTATCCATTCTTCAGTTAACGGACATTTGAATTGTTTCTAGTTTTTTGGTTATTATGAATAATGCTGCTATGACCATTTGTGTACAAGTTGCTGTGTGGACATATGTTTTCATTTCTCTTGAGTATATACTAGGGATGGTATTGCTGGGTCATATGGTAACTCTATGTTTAACCTTTTGAGGAACTTCCAGATGGTTTTCCAAAGTGGCTGCACCATTTTACATTCCCACCAACAGTGTATGAGAATTCCAGTTACTTCACATCCTCACCAACACTTGTTATCATCCATCTTTTGATTATAGCCATCCTAGTGGGTATAAAGTGATATCTCTTTGTAGTTTTGATTTGCATTTCCCTGGTGACAAATGATGTTGAACATCTTTTCATTTGCTTATCAGCCATTTGTATATCTTCTTTGGACAAATATCTATTCAGATCCTTTGCCATTATTTATCATTGAGTTGTAAGAATTCTTTATTCTAGATACCTTGTCTGATATATGATGTAATCTGTAATTATTTTATCTATCTTTTTTTTTGTGTGTGAGGAAGACCAGCCCTGAGCTAACATTCAATGCCAATCCTCCTCTTTTTTTGCTGAGGAAGACTGGCCCTGGGCTAACATGCGTGCCCATCTTCCTCCACTTTATATGGGACGCTGCCACAGCTTGGCTTAACAAGCAGTGCATCAGTGCGCGCCCAGGATCCAAACCAGCGAACCCCGGGCTGCTGCAGCTGAGCGTGCGCACTTAAGTGCTTGCGCCACTGGGCCAGCCCCTCTATCTTATTTTTTGTCCTCTCCGATTAGAATGTAAGCTCCCTAACAGGAGGCAGACCATATGTGTCTTTCCCCCTTCCATCTCCAGTGCATATCAGATGCAAAATAAGTATGAATGAATGGCCACACTATCATGTGCGCAGTAGTTCTCACACCTTCTAGCCACCACTTAGACAAAGCAGCTCAATAGTTTTCCTCCCACCAGTTGGGCCAGTTCCCAATGTAAAGAAGATCACAAATGGCCTACACTCAGAAAGTTACATTCACTGATTATAGTGACATTGTTGGTAGCTTGCCCAGCATCAATTCCCACTAGTCCTCCTTCAAAACAGACCCCAGGGCTTATTCCAGTATCTACTTCACCTACACCTGGCCCATAGGACTCCATCTCCCTCATTCTAGAAGTTGGTCCTAACTGGTCTAAGCCAAACATGATAAACTCATCCCTCTTGGCAGATGAATAATACAAGAACTAGAGTTTAAGCCTGGCTCAGTATTGCTCTGGCAATGGTTACTAGTTCACAGGTGGGCAGGTAATCTAAATTGACCCAATAAGACTGAAAAAAAGCTTCCATGTCTAGGAGAGATGCATGCATGTTGCCTCAGTTGCTGCTGGCAGCCATCTTACAACTATGAGGAAGACCAGCCTGAGGGCAAGGCAGACACAGAGAATAGGGTCAGGCCAAGAGAATTCCAGAGACAGCAGGAGCCCTGATCACACCATGCCTGGAGCCTGCCCAGCATCTGGACTGTTACCTGAGATAACAAATTTCCTTATTGTTTAGGCTGGTTTGAACAAATAATGAGCAGGGATTTTGGTTCTTCACAGCCAAAAGCATCATAATTAATACACTATGAATCCTGGTATAGACAATCTGCATTTTGGGGAACCTGTGCTTCTCATATGGCAATCTCAACAATAACTCTTCTTAATCACGTGACACTAAGCCTCATGCTCAACATGGACTTCCAAAGAGGTTCCCAAACCAAGAATCCACCATGTGATACTCAGAGACACATCTCTATCTCAAGGAGCATTTGGTTCCTTTTCAGAAAAGGCAAGTCCCCCTTTTCCCAAACCTGCCAAAATAAAGGGCAGGGGGTTAAGGATAAGGATGACAACCCTATCTTGGTCTAGGAGACAGCAGTTAGGGTAACATAGAACTCAGATATGTCCCATGTGCAAATACTTTAAGATTTTGCCTTCGGAAAGCCAAGAAGAGTAGAGTCTCCCCACCCCACCCACCTCCTCTGGGAAATTTGGCACACTTCCCCTGAGCCCTACGGATACCACTGGGCTAGACACCTTTTCCAGAGGCCCACTTGTAATCACTGGGGTTCCTTGCACTCAGCATCTATATTCTACAGCAATTCAGTGTGAAAGCCATACCTCATACCGATGTCTGTGTCTTTCTTCTATGAAAGGAACATCACCATAAAGTTTCCCTGTAAAGATACGAGTGTGAAATTAATAATGGAGTAATTGGCTTTAGAACCAGACCCATGGCATATGTGTGGGGGAAGCCTCTTTGATCTGCCTATCAGAGACCTAAAAATGAACTAGACCCTGGGTAGTAATCTAGATTTTCTTCTCTTATGGTACAGAAGAGCAATAGCTTCTTTGAAACCCTGAGGCAATTCTCAAGTAAGCCATCACCATTGCATAAAGGGAAGCCCGTTATTATACAAGTCCACTGTGGACTCCAGCAGACGTGCCCTCCTTTCATACATCTGCCTGCAGGATCAAGAGGCTGTGCAATGTCTGCACCATTGCTTGTTGCATTTTAGTCTCCAAAAAGACTAGGACAGAAAGGAAGACTTTGCCATTTTGTTGCTGTTGAGGATTTCCCCCCATGCCTAGGATCATTGCATGGCACATGTGCTCAATAAATCCATCCAGAGAACCGCTCATAACAACATGGCAGATCTACTCCTCAGTCTTTTCACTCCACACCTAAATACAGTCTACACTCAGCAGCATCTAGCATCTCACCTCGGCATTAATCGTCCTACAGCACTTTCAGTGACAGTGTGGATCAGTGGCTCCTAACTGGGAATGCACAGGGAGCCACTAGTGGTACTTTGTAAAAGCCCACATGCTGGGGTACTCTCCTAAGAGTAACCAAATCAGAATCCCTGGTGCCAGGGCCCTAGAATGAGCACCCTTAGTTTTATTTTGTTTTTAAGGTGTTTTCAAATAGAATTGGACTGGTAACATTCTGAGCTGATTCTCAACGTATAGTTTTAAAGGAAATTTTAATTTTTTCTTTTTTCATGGACATGGCAGTGGATTAATTTTTAAATTCATTCTTGATAGATTTGTAAGTGATCAAGAAAGATTTTGAGTGCACAAAACAACATTTCCAAAGTTCTGAAAACATGTTTCATCATATACCATATACATTTTATATATATACCATATACATTATATATATCATATATGTATGATAGAGAGAGAGAGCTCTTCATTTATTAAACAAATATTTATTGAGCACCTGCTTATGTGGTAGACACTGGTCTCAAGAATTAAGGGGAAGGGTCCCTATCTTGTCTGTTATCTTGTAGAGTTTATATTCCAGCTTCTATTCTTTCTATTTGGATTTCATAGTCTAGAGATAACAACAGCAATCACATGGTTTACTTACTTACTGTTCTAAGTGCTTCACATATTTTGATTTATTTAACCTTCACAACCACCCTATGAAGTAGAGACTATTGCAATCCCCATTTTACAGATGAGGAAGCTGAGGCAGAGAGGTGAAGTAACTTGCCCAAGCCACACATCCATTAAATGATGTAGTGGAATTTAAAGTCAGGCAGTCTGGCTCCAGAGTCACTACACCTCCCCCCTCTTCTTGTCACCTCTGAGATATCTTAGCAAACACAGAGTTTGCCTTAAGCCAGGCAGCAGGCATAGGCCATGCAGTTTCAAAAGTTTGCACAAGGATGTCAGAGTGACGTCAGCATCATGGCAGAGTGAGCTCTTCCCTTAGTCTCTCTCCTCTAAGATACAATGAAAAGGACATTCATAAACCAACAGAGAACATTCACACAACAAAATAGACATCTGAACGATCCACACAGCCATACATCTGAAGGTGGGGGTGCTGGACCATCCCCCAGGAGGCAGTGGAAGGAAGTAAGGGGATCCCCTCTGCCTCCTGGGTGGCAGCAACCTAGGGGTAGGACCTCACATGGCAGCTGGCATGCAACCCTGACAGGAGAAGGGGGAGAAGGCAGGCTCCACGGGAATGCTTGGACTCTCAGAATTGCCTCCCAGCCTGTGGCAATGCTCCACACCGAGGCGGCTAAGGAATCGTGGGGGCATCCGCATGAAGCCAGGCAGACAGTGAGTGCAGAGCCAGGGCGCTCAGGAGTGCACACATGAAAGAGAGTGCCCCTCCCCCCCTTCCACCTGGTGCACCAGCTAGGCATGACGGCCTGAGCAGGGAATCCTCGCCAAAGCGCCTGTGCATACATGTGTAAAGCAGTAGCAGCCAGCGGGCAAACACAGACGGACCCTGTCAACACAGCTTCCAACAGACTGGCACATCTGCCAGGAGTTGCAGAAGGCTCATAAAACACAGCTCCTGCCCCCTCGTCCCCAATGGTGGCAGGTGGAATCCACGATCAGATATGACCACTATGCGACAGCAAAAATCCACCCCATCAAATAGCATGAAGAAATATATTAACACTGTAGACCAGAAGGAAAATGACAAATACCCAGAAATCAACCCTGAACTCACAGAAATTTACAATCTAAATGAAAGAGAATTCAAAATAGTTATCATAAAGAAACTCGAGTTACAAGAAAACTCAGAAAGACAGTTTAATGATCTCAGGAATAAAATTAATGAACAGAGGGAATTCTTCACAAAAAGAGATTGAAACTTTAAAAAAACTAATCAGAAATGTTGGAGATGAAAAACACAATGAATGAGATAAAGAAAAATCTGGAGTCCTTAAAAAACATAGCAGATATTATGGAGGACAGAATCAGCAATTTAGAGAACAGAAATATAGAAATGCTGCAGATGGAGGAGAGAGAACTAAGCCTAAAAAGAAATGAAGAAATTATCGGAGAAATATCCTACTCAATTAGGAAATGCAACGTAAGGATTATAGGTATTCCAGAGGGAGAAGGGAGGGAGAAAGGAGCAGAGAGCTTGTTGAAAGAAATAATAGCTGAGAACTTCCCAAACAGGGGAGAAGAAGCTGGAATTACATGTAAATGAAGCCAATAGAACTCCTAATTACATCAATGAAAAAAGACCTTCTCCGAGGCATATATTAGTAAAACTGGCAAAAGTCAATGACAAAGAAAAAATATTAAGGGTAGCAAGGCAGAAGAAAATAACCTACGAAGGAACCTGTAGCAGGCTTTCAGCAGATTTCTCAGCAGAAACCTTACAGGCCAGGAGAGAGTGGAACGATATATGCAAAATTCTGAAAGACAAAAACTTTCAGCCAAGAATATTCTATCCAGTGAAATTATCCTTCAGATACAATGGAAAAATAAAAACTTTCCCAGATAAACAAAAGCTGAGGGAATTCATCGCCACAAGACACTCCCCCCTACAAGGAATGATCAAGTAGGCCCTCATACTTGAAAAAAAAAAGAAAGGGTTTACAAAGCCTTGAGCAAAGAGATAAACAGACAGACAAAATCAGAAATACGCAGCTTTCTATCAGAACAGGACAGCAAACACTTAACTATAACATTAAAGATAAAGGAAAGGAAAGCATCAAAAATAACTATAATCACTTCATTTTAACCACAAACTCACAACACAAAATGGAATAACTTGTGACAACAATAACTTAAATGGGGAAGAGGAAAGGGATGGAACCTGCTTAGACTAAGGAACAAAGAGACTATCAGAAAATGGACTATCTCATCTACGAGATCTTTTATACAAACCTCATGGTAAACACTAAACAAGTAATCAGAACAGAGACACAAATGACAAACAAAGAGAAAACTGAGAAAACCATCATAGAGAAACACCAAAATGAACTGGCAGTTAGTAATACACAGGATGAGAAACAAGGGAAATACAGAACAACCAGAAAACAAGTGATAAAATAGCAGTATTAAGCCCTCACAGGGGCCGGCCCCGTGGCGTAGCGGTTAAGTGCACACGCTCCGCTGCTGGCAGCCCGGGTTCAGATCCCAGGCGCACACCAACGCACAGCTGGTCAGGCCATGCTGTGGCGGCGTCCCACATAAAGTGGAGGAAGATGGGCACAGATGTTAGCCCAGGGCCAGTCTTCCTCAGCAAAAAGAGGAGGATTGGCATGGATGTTAGCTCAGGGCTGATCTTCCTCACAAAAAAATTTTTAAAAAAATTTTAAAAAAGCCCTTGTATATCAATAAGCACTCTAAATGTAAATGGATTGAATTCTCCAGTCAAAAGACACAGAGTGGCTGGATGGATTAAAAAACAAGACCTAACAATATGCTGCCTCGAGGAAACACATTTCAGCTCTAAAGACAAACACAGGCTCAGAGTGAAGGGATGGAAGATGATATTCCAAACTAATGGCAAACAAAAGAAAGCAGGTGTTACCATACTTATATCAGACAAAGTAGACTTCAAGATAAAAAAGACAATGAGAGACAAAGAGGGGCAGTATGTAATTATAAAAGGGACACTCCACCAAGAGGACATAACACTTATAAATATATATGCACCTAACACAGGAGCACCAAAGTACATAAAGCAACTATTAACAGACATGAAAGGAGAAATTGACAGCAACACAATAATAGCAGGGGACCTCAACACCCCACTTACATCAATGGATAGGTCGTCCAGACAGAAAATCAACAAGGAAATAGTGGAATTAAATGAAAAACTAGATCGGATGGACTTAATAGATATATATAGAACACTCCATCCAAAATCAGCAGAATACACATTCTTCTCAAGTGCACATGGAACATTCTCAAGGACAGACCATATGTTGGGAAACAAGGCAAGCCTCGATAAATTTAAGATTGAAATCATATCAATCATCTTTTCCAACCATAATGCTATGAAACTAGAAATCAACTACAAGAAAAAAGCTGGGAAAGTGACAAATATTTGAAGACTAAACAACATGCTACTGAATAACCAATGGATCACTGAAGAAATTAAAGGAGAAATCAAAAAATATCTGGAGATAAATGAAAATGAAAATACACCACACCAACTCATATGAGATGCAGCAAAAGTGGTCCTAAGAGGGAAATTCATAGCAATACAGGCCCACCTTAACAAACAAGAAAAATCCCAAATAAGTAATCTTAAACTACACCTAACAGAACTAGAAAAAGAAGAATAAACAAAGCCCAAATTCAGCAGAAGGAGGGAAATAATAAAAATTAGAGCAGAAATAAATGAAATAGAAACCAAAACAACAGTAGACAGGATCAATGAAACTAAGAGCCGGTTCTT